GAAGATCAATCTTAGAGAATACAATAGCTCATCGCAATTGATCAAATAAATCATCAATCATGGGTAGTGGGTATTTATTCTTGACCGTCATCTTGTTCAATTTCCGATAGTCAATACATAATCTTAGCGACCCATCCTTCTTTTTCACGAACAGAACTGGAGCTCCCCATGGTGAAGTACTATGTCGGATAAATCCTCGATCGAATAATTCTTGCAATTGGACTTTCAACTCTTTAAATTCCCTTGGAGCCATACGATAAGGTGCCATAGAAATAGGTGACGATCCCGGATAAGTCTCAATCTCGAACTCTACCTCTCTATCAGGAGGTAACCCAGGCAACTCCTCCGGAAAAACATCAGGAAACTCGCTAACTGTACAAATCTCCTCGATCGTGGACAATGCACCCTTGGTGTTCAAAATACAAGCAATGAAGGTCTCATATCCCTTCCGGATCAACGATCAATTTCCATCGCTGAAACTATATTGGAGAGATAACCACGCCGTTCACCAATTAACACACAGTCCGACCATCTGAAGTCTTCAGAGTAGCCCGCTTGTATTCGCAATCCAGCTTTACCTTGTGTTTATTCAACCAATCCATTCCAAGAATTAAATCGAACTCCTCTAAAGGAAGCTCCATAAGATCAGCGAGAAAATTTCTCCTGAACCTCGAGAGGACAACGCCGGAATACTTTATTCACTAATACCGCTTGTCCTACTGGACTTGTAACTGTAACAGTATTTCAGTGTTCTCGATCGGAATCTGAAGGTTTCGAGATACTGAGCTCGATACATAGGAGTGAGTGGAACCATTGTCCAATAATGCAAAGTATGGTAGAATAAATAGTAAATGTACCTGCAATAAACCTCAGGCTCATCTCTGTCATCACGACGTCTAGTTGCATAAACCAAAGCTGGTTGTCTAGCCTCAGAAGCTGTTGGCCCTCTATTTTGATGAGGTCGGGCTCTACTGTGTCCTACGCTGATCCTCGAGTCTTTCCTTGACTACGATCTCTAATTGGGGTCTGTACTGTAGTCTGCGAACGCATAGGAGTTTGGGTAGTGGTCTGCTCAAACGAAACTAACTGAGGACAATCCCTCCGATAATGATCACTAGATCCACACTGATAGCAAAGACCCATCTTCTTACGACACTCTCCTGAGTGCTGTTTACCAAATACTCACAAAGGGGCCCATATACGACGAGGAACCGCCTCGACTGACAGCTAAAGGTGAGGATGCTGCAGGCCTGAAACGTGTATTGCTTCTCTGAGGGGCTGAAGTACGAGTCCTCTTTCCGGACTGTGCTGATGACTCCATCGGGCCTGAAAATTTCTTAGATCGATCTTGATCAACACGCTCTCTACCAGAAGCTAAAACTTCCACCTCTTCCGCATCTTTGGCTCTGCCCACCAGCCATCAAATATCTCATCCTATGGGTTACAACTGCCTACGCAGCTCGTATCTGAGTCCAAGGGCAAATTTACGACATCGATCTCTCCGTAGGTACCATACTGAATCCATACTTCAGCAATTTCAGGAACTCGATCTCATATTCAGAAACAGTCATGTCTCCCTGAACCAGGTCTTGAAACTGTTGTCGTCTCTGAGCTAAGTAGCGCTCTCCCAGAAAACGACTCCGAAAGCGATCCTTAAAGAAATTCCAGGTCAAACGATCGGTAGGAACACTACTGGTCACTGACTCCCACCAAGTGTAGGCATTACCATCTAACATTGCTACAGCACCCAGATATCTCTTAGTTGAGTCCAAACCCAACTGATCCATGCGTCTCTCTGTATCCTGGAGCCAATCCTCAGCTTCAGTAGGAGCTCCACCAATCTGTCCCCCAAAAGTTCTAACTCCATTGGAAATCAACGTCTATGAAATAGGAACCTCAGATACAACACCAGTAGCTCTAACTGCTCCCTGTATTAACTGCAGAAACTGTCTACTAAAATTCTCATCCAATGCCACTCCAGTAGACTCTGACTCAATATCGGTCGCTCCTATGACGGTGTAGTCATGCCAATACCATCGGTAGGTGGCATATTCGTTGGTGTCGTAGGCATGATCACCTATTGGAGGTGGGGGATCTACTCGTATCTCATCAATCGGATCTGCAATCTAGTTACTCGACCTCGTCCACGACTAGTTCGACGACCACGTCTAGCACTCATTTTGGTAGATCTCGAGATTACTACAGAAGATAAACTTAAGGTTAGATAAGCACTTGGAGTCTCGAACATAGTTAAAATCTTAATAACTTTGTGACATGGCCTTAGTAACTCGTTTTGTAAAATATTTTAAAACTGTATTTCAATGTGGACTCATACACAGTCCGAGGGTTAAAACTAAAAGCTGATACCAATAAATGTAACCCCCTAGACCCAGCCTATGCGTTTCGACTAAGTCTAGTGGATCACATTAATTATTAAAGACATTTTTCGAACCGTTATTCCATCAATATAAAATCACATTATAATAACATGAAATTATAAACAAATTATACTATCAAAATCCAACTCGTAAATAGTACCAATAATAATTTAATTTAAAACACATCTTCAAATTCAATATCACAATAAACCGAGCAGTATTAGCAAAAGAGTTATCATTATAAAATCCGATATTTTAAAATAAGGTCCATGTCACCAAAATAAAGTCAACTTGCCAGATAACAACATTACAATTTGATTTACTTCAAGAGATATGTTGATCCTCCAAGTGCTCGTACCAAGGTATCTAACCAACAATATCTGAAAGGGGAAACATTTTCAAAAGGTGAGCTAGGCTCAGTGTCCCAACATTTCCATAAAATCACAATAGGTACAAATCATAGTCCAGTAATCACAAATTCATAAAAGAGTTTAACTTTTGAAAATCATAGTTTAAACCCTTTTCTGGTACACCATCAGTAGTTGCCAAAAATTTTTCCATATAGCTTACTTTATGCACATAGCAAAAAGAAAGCCGACTTAAGGATAGGCTCTGAAGCTTGTATCCTTAAGCCCAAGTCAATGAGTCCATATAGCTTACCCTAAGCACACAGCAAAGGAAAGCCGACCTAATGAAACATCTTGGGGCCCTCAAGAGTCACATTAGGCCCAGTTAGCTTGATCAGAGCTATTCCATCGTATTTCAATTCCAAAATTCAATTGCACCGTGACATAAATTCCATCAATCCAAAAACTGGTAATCATATACCATTTCAAAACAAAAATTAGATAGCAGCCATATTCCATAAATTGTCACATTAAATTGGTGCATCCATAAAACAATAAAAACCAATAAACAGTTCAATAATAAGCAGGGAACACACCTCGACAATAGGTTCAAATAGCAAATTTACTGATTGCTGGTTTCACCACGCTCTGCTACAATTTTCGAACGGGTGAATACTGGCACACGTGGTTTAACTGATCTAGAAGAGCTGGGTCGAGCTGTCGACATCCAGAGAGTCTCTTGTACCATCAAACAATAATAATATCAGTCCAAATCCTATTTAATTGTTCAAAGCTAGTCTTCTTAAGTATATAAGCATTTTTTCGAGTTTGACTATCAATTTGGGGTATTTCGAGTAATAATAAGCAGGGAACACACCTCGACAATAGGTTCAAATAGAATTTACTGATTGCTGGTTTCACCACGCTCTGCTACAATTTTCGAACGGGTGAATACTGGCACACGTGGTTTAACTGATCTAGAAGAGCTGGGTCGAGCTGTCGACGATCCAGAGAGTCTCTTGTACCATCAAACAATAATCTATCAGTCCAAATCCTATTTAATTGTTCAAAGCTAGTCTTCTTAAGTATATAAGCATTTTTTCGAGTTTGACTATCAATTTGGGGTATTTCGAGTCTGAATTTGGCCAAACGGATTGCGGAAACGGAATCAGGACGTCGAAAAATATAAAGTATGACTTTTCGGAAATTCAGATTCTTGGTCAAAGTCAAAGTCAACCACTTTGACCGTGATTTGGAGATCTTCGGTTTGAATTTGGCGAAACGGACTGCGGAAATAGATTTGGCACGTCGAAAAACTATCAGGATAGGTATACTCGGAAAAGATTTACGGTCGTTAAGGGTCGGTCAAAGCCATTTTAAATTTAGTCAAAGAAAGTCAACGGTCAACGGTCACGGTCAACGGTCAACGGTCGGGTCGGGTCAACAGTCGGGTCGGGTCAACAGTCGGGTCGGGTCAACCGGTTCAGACCGGTCAAACCGGTTCAGACCGGTCAACCGGTTCGAACCGGTCAAACGGTTCAAAACTGGTCAAAACCCTTTTCAGCAGCTCACTCCCTGCGGCGGCGCGTGCGGCGCCGTGAACAGTGCCACGGTGTCGGAAAATTCCGGAAAAATTTCTAAAAATTATTTTGAGCGATTTCGAGATACTTACAACGATCGGTTCAAATTTTGAACGGCGGAGAGCTCGTATTTCAACTCGGCCGAACCTTTGACTGCTCCACCTCCTCACGCGCCGCCGTCTACGGCGAACAAGGTTGACACCGGCGGACTCGCAACGACACAAGGAACACGATGGTGGCAGGAGGTGTCGTAAACGGAACAACGATCGGCGGTGAATTTAAGTTTTTCCCGACGATAGAGCTAAAAAAACGACGATGCTTTGACTGAAAATTCCCGACGTTTGGCAGCGTTTCACTCAATTAATTTGAAGGGTTTGTTCCTCGCTTGATGATGAACAACGGTGGTTTCAATTTTACGATTGGACGACGAACGGCGTCGGAATCGGCTTTGAAGTAGAGTGCGGGGAGGAGGAATTTCACAATTGTTTTCTGTTTTGAAAACAGAAAACCATCATACGTTTATATTAAATTTTCTGCCGACACTAAAAGGAGTAATGCAGGGCTTGGTCCTGAATTTCCTTTAACTTCTAAAATGGCCTACATTTTGAAAACTTCCGATTTAATCCTCAAATTTTGCCAAATTACTTAATTAATTTTTTTTTCTCTAAATTTTATTCCGGGTTGTTACAGACTACGCGACGAGCTCGCCTTCGAACGATGTGTCGAAACTTTCGACGCAACGGACTCGATGCATCTGCTAGTAATTCCAAGGTCTTCACACCATAGAGGAAACGCATGGTGGTTTGTAACGTCACAACACAATCTCTCCACCTTGTAAGATGCAAGAATTAAAGAACACTTCCAGCTTGCAACTTAAGTTCCCCTTCTCGACATCTTCCGTCATCTGCAAGTATTCGGCAGCGCATTGCGCCGCCACGATGTTATACGAACCGAGAGTGATCGTGATGCCGTAACAGAACTTAGCGCAAAGCTCGAACGCCTCGATCCCGCCGGGGAATCGGGTAATCGGATCACTTCTTGTGTTGTTCATAGCATAATCTCTGCAACTTCGAACACTTAGACAACAGAGGAAACTGCATATGATCAAAAACGAAAATGTAAGTGAAGAATCAACAACTGAATTCAACTTGAATCGAGACAAGTTTTTAGCTTTACCTTGTGAAGCAGATATTTAGTTCCATCAACTTGGATTATAAGATCTCTAAGGACTTCAGAAGAAACCGTCCTGCAACAAGAAAATAAATATCCATTGCATCTTTCTCGAGAAAATCAAAGCTTAACCCTGAGTTGAATCGGTTCATGAGAATCTTACCTTACGGACGGCTGTGTAGAAAGTGTCGGGCCGAGATCCGAGTTTCATAAACTTCATGGCTGAGTTTTCTGGGTATTGCTTTATAGTTTCTCTGGTTTATATAAAGCAAAAATGGTGAGAAATCCAACTGAAGAAGATAACAACAGCTTTCCGTCAATCAACTACATAATCTAATTTGACATGCAAAACAAAGAAGAATCAAATATCAAACAATTAATTCAGATGATAAGCAATATGATATTTTTTTCAAGAGTCAATTTGGCAATAGTCTCATGAGCATGCGATGCCAGCGTGCAATCAGAAAGGCGTGGTCCACTTGTGCCCTATTTCACTCATCATTTTAATCGAGTACATTAAAACATCCTACATCATAGATTCTAATATATTTAAGGGTAAAGTACATAACTGGTCCCCTTACTATAAGGTATTATTTATTAAATCACTAAATTATTAAAATTATGAATGGTCCTCAGACTATAGAGTTTTTTTGTTGAGTCCCTTAATTATTAAAAGTTACAAAATGGTCACTTGACTGTTCACAGTGTTCCAAACTCGTCATTTTCCGTTAAAAAAATAAACGATATTCTAAGTTGAACGTGAACATGTTGATTGTGATATGATAAAATATGATACCAGAATCTCAAACGACTACCATATCGCAGTCATTATGCTAACGTTCAACTTAAACAACCATCAATTTTTTAACGGAAAAATATGACTTTGGAATATAATGAATATTCGGGTTACCATTTTGTGACTTTTAATAGTCGAGTGACTTAACAAAGAAACATTCTATAGTCAGAGGATCATGTTATAATTTTTAATAATCAAATGACTTAATAAAGCAGTACCCTATAGTCAAGGGTCCATTTATGTACTTTACCCTATATTTAAATGTATAAAATTTTGTATTTAATATATATTTAAGATTCGGACATACTTTCTTAAATAATTTTTCAATTCATAAAGCTTGACCTTAATATTTACAAAACAGGGTCCAGTGCCGAGGCCGGCGGCTTGTGTTGGCTAGATCGAGGCTTACCTTTAGGCAGCTTTGGTGATACTGAAATTTCATGGGAAAGCTAAGGATACCATGCGGAAATTGAGTGGGCACCGGAGAGATGTAAAGTTTGGGATGGGGGCATATATTGATCTTAACCCTACGTTACATAATGGATGAATTATTATATTCTTCAAATAAAATTAAAATATCAATCAACGACCAGTAGTTAGTAAGATGAGCCACTAAATCTCTTAAATAAAGTCAGAAGTTTGAATCCTTAAAATTACAAATGAAACAATCTGAATTTATTCGTTCATTTGGAATTTTAATAAAGGTAAAATACAAATTTGTTAACTTAATTTCATTCTCTATTATTTCGTTTATTGTACTTTTATTCTTTTTAATTTCCTCACTGAATTTAATATATTAAATTTTTTGGGTCATTTATTCGTTTCCTAACTAATAGTGTTATGACGTGACTTTTTTACCAAAAAAAAATTCAATGCATAAAACTCAGTGATTAAATTGAAAAAATTAAAAGTATAATGAGTAAAATAGAAGATAGAGTACAGTTTAATGATTAAATTTATAATTTACCTATTAAAAAATAAAAAAATGCCACGACATAACATCATTAGTAAGAAAATGATTGAATGACCAAAAAACTCATTATATTAAACTTAGTGAGAAATTAAAAAAAAATTAAAATCCAATGAATGAAATAGGAGAAAAAATAAAATTCAATTACCAAATTTATGATTTACCCTTCTAATAAAGTCCCACCATTTAAGTGCATATAGAAATATAAAATCATAAAACAAGGAAGGGACTGAGACACTCAAATGACGCGACTGGTGTCTGATTTGGTCATTTTCTAGTGAGCGAAATGTTACACAAATTGGAGGTGACATCGCTGTCTGTCTGTTTTGTAATAGCTTTTTAAGGCTTCAAAATTTGTACGTTATAGAGAAAAACGCACACGCACGACCAAAGCTTGGCTGTGGCCGGAATCTTGTTGTGTTTCGAGAGACTTATGAACGAAACTTATTGTCTTTCGAGTTAGCTACGGTACATGAATAAGATCTTTAATAATTTTATGTGATTTATCAGAATAAAATATGAAATCCGATAACTATATATATTTATTTTGTTGACCTACAATAGCTATATAAAATTATGTTCAATATCATAAAGTAATCCATTATAATAACTTAGTTACAATGAGAGAGATGATCCTTTTCGACTATCACATTCATAAAGATGTTATATTTTCTTATGTCTTTATCCTTTCACATAAAAATCGGTTAGTGGTTGTCATCTCATAATCACGACTCTATGTCCAAATTAAAAGAATAAATCATTAACGGTCCACAAGAAAAAACTTATACACATCTACGTATATACACACGACTAAGGAGTAAGGACCTTTACGGTGTTTTGGAACAAACGTAATTATGTCATAACATTTAACGGCGGTTTTTTACAAACGCCACAAAAGGAAAAGATATATAGTGCCGTTTGAAGGCGGAAAACCCCCCCCCCCCACAAATATTTTTAGCGGCGCTTGAAAACGCCGCTATATAAAAAAAAACGCGCTAAAAACTATTTTTTTGAGTATCACTCAGTCACGTTCTAGTTTGGCTTTATGACAAATCTCAGTCGCGATCATTAACCATACGCTAAAGCAAAATGATGGGCATTAAACAGGATATGTCTTATGTTTAGTCGAATTATACGATAATTACTTTGTTAACAACATTACTGTGGTTAATGGACACGTCAGGAGAAATTAGTCAATCAAACATGAGCGTTTTAAAGCTTGAAAACAATCACAATTTGCAGTTGTTAAATGATGGGATTTAGCTGCACTTTTGCTGTTCATGTAGCACAAAAGATGATTAATCCAGCTAAGAAATTGAAAATCCAAGGCTTGAATGAAGGATGAGGCAACGCTGTTTTGCCTTTGTTTCTGCTAATAATGATTTCAATGTTCCAATTACTGCCTCATCATCTTCAAAAGTTAAAGCTTTACACCATAGTTGAAAAAGTTGGTCGATCACACTAATAAGATCCGGTTTTATAACTTTAAAGATACTACCTCATCATCTTCAAAAGTTGATCGTAAACCCTAAATTATAAAACGAATATGCCGAGAAGAAACACGAAATCCCATCAAAAGTTGATCGCAATCCTTAAACCCTAAATCATAAAACGAACATGCCGGGAAGAAACACAAAGTCCCATGTGTATTTTGGTATGAGTTCACATCACCTTTATAAAAGTTGAGAAACAAATACGTGTCGTTCGACCTTAGATTTTAGGGTTAGATTTGGAATTGAACGTTTTTCTTTTGTTATCAATAGTTGCATTGTTGATAAGAAACATTCTAATTTGTAGTTACAAATTTTAACAGGAAATTCGTGATAAAAGATTAGCAAGTTGGGTGTAAAAGTTAATCCCCAATGGTTATTTTAATTTGATTCATAAGATTAAATGTTCGTTTGATATTCGATTTATTGATCTACTAATTTAAATCTTATGGGGTGATTCTCCGAGCCTAATTTGTTTCTTTCACAGTAATATGATTTGAATATCTAACATTAGTTATAGAATATAATGTCTCGTCTCAATATATCAATTAATTTTCGATTTTAATATGCATCAGGTTTTGATAAAGTTTTTACTCAAGGGATTTTTTTATTTGATCCCTTTTGTTCAGAGAATACATTAGGGTTAGGTTAGATCGAACTTTGATTCGACCCGAAATTGACCCAAGCATTATATCCTAAAATATATATTATGTTATTTTCTCAACAAATCGAATCGGATAATTTTCACTATAAATTTGAATATAACCCGATCCAATATTATAATTAAAAAAATTGACCCAAGACAAAACCTAATTTGAAAACCAAGGCCCTACAAAATCGAGTCAAAACTCGTCGGATCCGGACCCCAGCTCACCCCTATTTAATTATATTTCTTGGTTAATAGAGGGAAAACAAAACAATCAAGGCAGCACTATTGTTGGTCAAGCCACGCCTAGTTAATGACACTTTTCTTTAAACTAAAGCTACTTTTTCATAGTAAAATGTTTAGGTAAAATACAGGTTTTCCCACTTTAGTAATATGCATTTGTCAAGATTCACATATTTTTTTCATTCCAAAGTCGATTCCCTCTCTACCAAATTCTACCTGTCAATATAGCAAGATATTACATTACTGTCATAAAACAAGTCATTCGAATTTGACACGGTCAACACTTGATTTTAATGGACTCGATTCAAATTGCTAACGAGTCAAAAACTACTTAATATATAATTCAAAGATTTTCATTACTTAAAGTTCAGGTTCAAACTCGAATTCTAGTTTCAATCGAGCTAAGTCTGAGAATGGTTCGAGTTCAAATTTTTTCGAGTTCGAACCAAGTTTCAATTTTTGGTTTCGAGTCGAGCCTGAAAATTTTGAGCTTACGTGTTTTTGAGTCGAGCTCAACTTTAAATATTTTGAATTAAGTCGAACTCAATGATATTCAAATTCGACTGTACTCGTTTACGACCCTAACTAGACTATTGGATTGGGTTGGGCTTGAGAAACATGGACGAAGGTTTTCCTTCAGGCCAACAGAAGCCAAATGGCCCAAAGTTTTGTGGAACTAGTATTATATAAAGTTGCATAGTTATAGGTAAAATTAGCCCAATAAGTCAAATGGATATAATTATTAGTCCATTAGATCAATCCAGATTTTCGTTTACGATCTACGGTAAATACAATACAAGGTAAACTCATCACGCTCACATGACGAGTTTGTTCAAATAATATTTTTTATTCAAACTCGTCACGTCGACGTGATGAGTTTCAATGAAATATAATTTTTCATTAAAATTTATCTCGTCGGGATGACACGTTTTAATGAAAAAAATATTTTTTATCGTGACGAGTTCCAAGTCACTGCATAGATTGCGGATTAATTTTGAAAATATCTTAATTGATTAATTTTTAACCCGCTTGGCCTACTAAATCAATTTCGTCCTCAGTTATATGATAATTATACATATC